GAGGGCTAGGGAGAATCTCCATCCCTTGTTGGACGCTGAGGGCAACTTGGTGACCAAGGATCAGGATAAGGCTGAGGTATTTAATGCCTTCTTTGCCTCAGTCTTTAATCGTAAGACTTGTTACTCCCTGGGAACACAGCCCCCTGTGCTGGTAGATAGGGATGGGGAACAGAATAGGTCCTGCATAATCCACAATGAGATGGTTTTGGACCTGCTCTGAAAGCTGGATGCTCACAAGTCCATGGGGCTGGATGAATTGCACCCTAGAGTGATGAGGGAGTTGGCAGATGTGGTTGCCAAGCCACTCTCCATCATTCTTTGGCAGTCCTGGCTAACCAGGGGTGTCCTGGCAGACTGGAGACTGGCAAATGTGACGCCCGTCTTCAAAAAGGGCCGGAAAGATGATCCTGGTAGCTACGGACCTATCAGTCTTACCTTGGTACTTGGGAGGTTATTGAACGCATAATCTCAGGAGCCATCATAGACCAGTTAAAGGTCAACCAGGGGATTAGGCTCAGTCAGCATGGATTTATGAATGGTAGATCCTGTCTGACAAACCTAATTTCATTCTATGACAAGGTGACCCGCTTAGTGGATGAAGGTAAGGCTGTCGATGTGGTCTACCTGGACTTCAGTAAAGCCTTTGACACTGTCCCCCACAACATTCTTGTGGAGAAGCTGGCTGCCCACGATTTGGATGGGCGTGCACTCTGCTGGGTGAAACACTGGCTGGATGGCTGGGCCTGAGCAATTCTATGATTCTATGAAGTGAAATACCGATAACAAAAATCACAAAACCATGACAGGGTGACCTTATTGCTTTCTACAACTACCTGAAGGAAGGTTGTGGTGAAGTAGGGGTCAGTCTCTTCTCCCAGGTAACTAGTAATAGGACTAGAGGGAATGGCCTCAATTTGTGCCAGGGATGATTCAGGCTGTATGTTAGGAAATACTTCTCTGAAAAAATGGTCAAGCGCTGAAATGGGCTGCCCAGGGAGGTGGTGGAGTCACCGTCTCTGGAGGTGTTCAATAAATGTTTAGATGTTGTACTGAGGGACATGGTTTAGTGGGAAATATTGGTGATAGGTGGGTGGTTGGATTGGATGATCTTAGAGGTCTCTTCCAACTTTGGTGATTCTATGATTCTATGTTTATTGTATAGAAGTCTTATGTTTAACCAGTGCAGCAGTGAAATGCTCACAGGTAAGTGTGCATACACTCACATCCCAACAAAAACCTTATTTCTCTGCCCCAAGACCACACCGTCAGCCTCAGGCAGCTGAGTACCAGTGCTGCCCTGAAGCAAGAGCAGCCTCACAGCCATGGCAGCATACATAGACCCATTCCTTGTCAACCAAAGGTGAGGGCAACTCCAAACTGATACGGACAGTCTCTTCCTGAGTACACAAATCTGAGAATGAGACAGACTGAACCTTCTTAAAATTACTTACAAGCTATAGCATTCTATGCAGAAACCACTCTTCTCTACTGCTGTAACTCCTTTTCTTCTGATCAGGAACTAAGACTTACAGTATCAGATCCCCATTTCATCTCCTTTAAGAGCATCCTCTGCCTTTATGGGAAAACCCCAACTAAACCATCTTTCTGGCACAAACCTTCAAACAATACCAATGGAAGAGTGCAGGTGAAGTAGGAGACCACAAACATGCTCCCTACTTTCAACAGCTGCAGCCAGAGGCTAAGACAGACTCAGAGTAGTACACATCTTTGTGACAGCAGCCCCAGGTGCCCACTCTGACCACAACTGTGTAAAGCCCACAGTCCTTGCACCTCCTATTCACCTGCACTGTGCACATCACTGAGCCTAGGCTACAGCTCATGTTCGCTCCTTCACCTCACCTCTTTCACCCGTGCTTGCTGAGGAGAGCCTTTCCATGTTTCCAGAACTTTTGATCCCTTGTCTTTAGTGAATGCATGTCATCACAAACACATCATCACAGTTGTGTTTTCTGGGGAGACTGTCTGGTGTAGAACCACAAGCCTACTCCTAACACTCTTTCTGCAGTACTGACCTGTCATAGTTTTCATTATTAGTACATTTTTATTTAATTTTGATCCAAGCATATTCTTGTTTGTACCTGTTGCCTTTTTTTTTTTTTTTTAAACTTCATATTCATCAAGTCAAATATTTCTTCCATAGATTTGTTGGTTTGGGTTGTGTTTTTTTGTTGTTGTCTTGAATGGGGTTGTTCTTATTTTAATACCACTATTCTCATTTCCCTACTTCATTACAATATCTTATTTGTTTTTACTAGCTCCATCTTGATTTGTGTGACATATTTGATGTATTTTTTTTAGCTAATCTATAACTTTTTCTAGAACTGATATCAAGTTGCCAGGTCTTTGTTTAGTTAGATCTTTCCTTTTATCTCAACATGGAGTAATCTTCTCTCTGCAACTTTTCAGGTTTCAGAAAAGCTTTTTATTAGAAAATAAGACATCCTCAAACAAAGGGTTTTCAGGAACCTTCATTACTTATTTCTAAATCATTGTGTGCCAGTTATATTGGACCTCATTTTAAGGTCTTCTGCTGAATATATGGCCAACTTCCCAGGAACAAGATGATAGTCAGTTTTCCACTATAATTGTGTGACAAATATGAGGCTTCTTCTGAAGCAAAGTACTAGCATTTTTTCCACGGCTTTGTTTTTCCCTTTATAGTAAATATTCCAACTTTGTATCATTACCCGATACTTCTATTTTTGATCTTAATTCTTCTTTCTTTTGGCAGTACATTTTTCTTCCAATTTAGCATTATCAGATATTATCTACATTTTTCTTCTAACTCAATTCAGTTATCTGTCAGACTAGTTCTTCTGAAACACCATTTCTTTCTGAACTACTTTCTGTTTGCATGGAAAATTTTCAAATCTTAACCACAACATTATCCTACTCTTCCTTTGATTTTCAGGATGAACAGACAGACAGGGTTTTGTCCCAGTACCTGTCAGATTCCACATGGAAGACTTGGTACGGACCTGAGACTAACTACAACATTCATCCAGTAATTCCTCTTTCCAGATCACTGTTCATTGCTCCATCTTTGCTTTTATGAGTATAGTGCACCACTTAATCCTTTGACTTTTCCCAGTTACATACTAGCAAACTTTCTGAGTTTCTTACTGGGTGTGTGTGTGTGTGACAACACACAACAATTCTCTGCGTTCTAGTCTGAGTATCCCTGTGAATCTAACTGCCTGAGATCTGAGTTTCTCTCATATGCTATTTATATTCTGGATCCAGATAAGTAAGAAAATTTTGAATAATTCCCTACTGCAGCTCACCTGCTGATGCATTTGTTGCCATATGCATATGCAAAGATCTCCAGCTTTAAGAGTCTCCACAACCTGCTAGATGCACCTAGTGACTGTCAATTTGCATACTATGCCTTGCTGTTCAAGCCCATCCCTTGGCTAAGAGAAAAAGTTCATGCCCAGATTTCAACTATATATGACAAGATTTCATACTGTTATTTCAGAGATAAAAATTTCTCTAGTCAAAAGCACAGAGCACAGTTCTATTTACAGTCTGCAGATGGACAAATATAACAATCACTATCAATTCACACCATCTAGAGAAATTGTGTCTTTTTGAAAAAAAATAGAACATGTAATATAAGAATAAGCTCTTAATCATCATTGAATCAATCATCATCAAATGAAGCAATTTGTGTTGCACAGATTGTCAACAGTGAAATATATGGCTTGTTTAAAATGAAATAAACCAAGCCATTTACTTACCATTGGCAGCCTGGATTGAAGCATCTGGAGATCATCATAACCATAAATCTGCTCAAAGAAAGAAAAATATAACATTATCACACTTTTCTAGGCCCAGTCTACATTAAAGGTATATGGGTATATGTTGTATTGTGCAATTACAGAGCACCGTGGAATTTTAAGGCTAGTAAAGCTAAGTAGAGGTCAAAATGGTTCGTCACTTATGTTTTCTGATGACAGTAGTCCCCCATGAAGAGTTTGACTGTCAAGTCTTCAATACCGTTTTTACAGATGCATATTTATGAATTAGTGAAAAATCTACTGGGCATTCTGATTTAGAAATAAAACTAAGTCTTCTTTTCTACAATTATTATTTCTGAGTATATGACAAAGACTTAATGAGTAGGCTATAGAGCAAACTAGTTAACCCCTCACATTCAGTGTGATACAGAAAGATGGTTAGAACAGTTTCTGATTCAAAAAATAGATAAATTATGTTCATCCTGGTCGGACATCAAACAGTTTTTTGCAATCTTAAAAAGTTTGACAGAGGACAAATGGCACAGTTCAACCATTATAATGACAAATCTATTCTAATAACCCAAACCTAAGTCTAAATTAAATGAAAAGGCCTAAAACTGGATACCACTGAAAACTATAGCAGAACACATGCTCAGCTTCAACAGCAGTCAAATCAGGTATGTACCAATAATTCTGAATTTTTCTACGAACAGTAAATCCCAACAGAGTATATTTAATATTTCTTCAGCATTTGGAACAAGAATTCCAGGTGCAACATGTGCCAACACAAATGCTTTGACATGGCCAGCAGCAGGTCTGGACGGCCCATTTGCATCAAGGTTTAAATAATTAAGGACAGATACAATTAAATTGCTTACTGGGTAGGCAGGCAGAAGTCCTCCAGGTCCCACAATATACTGATTATGTAACAAAGGCGGTACACTCTGGGGCAGGTTTGGAGGAGCTTTGCCTGTAGAACCAAAATACAGACACTTTAACAAGCCTTCGGAGAAAACTAGGCTTCAGCACTGACACAAGATAGTGAAGCTCCCAGGGCTTAAGAACTATCACAGCATGGAAAGATCTACACAAAAATTTAGTGCTAGTTAATGAAAATGCTCAAAATAGCCTGAAGAATTTAAACATACATCAAGGAAGGGAAAGCACAAACTACTTCAGACTGAAAACAATCCCAGTGTATAACAGTCCAATTTTGTCATTTACTTTGAGAAGATTAGAAGAATTACACAGGAATTTCTTTCCTTGGTCCTCTCCCAAAGGTAAAATTTAGGCATTGTTCTTTATCTGAGAATAAATTCTTTCATTTTCTGCTCTGTCAATACATTCCTCCTTGCCACCACTGGAAAGCATTAAATGCTACCAGTATACTTTTTGTGGGTGACTTATTGTAGCTGGGAAAAGCAAAGATGACTGAGACAGTTTCAGTTGCCTCCATAAAGCAGAGCTAGGAAGCAGAAGGGTAAAAAAGTTATTCAGCCAATCAGACATCTCAAGTGAGAAATTCTTGTATATGTAAGTTTGGTTGTAATTTTGAAATCATTCACTTCCCTCCATAGGATTTCCTTTTAGGAGGCTAAGTTGATTAGAGAAGCAATAGAGGAATTTATCCTTGCTTCCACTTCAGTGCACGCCTCCCTACCTTCTCTGTCTGTGGATCCTTCTTCTAAAATGGTTATTGCCATGGAATAACCCAGACATCAGATACTTCTTTCCTCTCTGTAGATGTGTCAGAAGAGATTTGACATATGATAATGACAGCACTGCAGTGTATTTTGATACTGACAAATGAATTCAAGTCACAGAAGGGTCTAAAATTAAAGCTAGTGAACTCACAGCCAAGAGTTGATCACAACCTGGAATACAAAATGTGCAAATCTCCTAGTTCAAAACTTAAAGTTGGAATTGCTCTGGTGTTTATTTATTTAGCACATTCTATCTCCAAAAAGCTTTATAAATGTCACATCGCACCCTAACAAATATTTTAAATACACAAAGTAGACAAATTTATTTTATAAGCCAGCAAATAAAACATGCTGAAAATGCTAGTCAAGAATGTGGATTTCTTAGTGCAGTTATTGCTGTGAGATGCTCAACTGATAGCCCTGTAGACTGAAATCCTCTGTCTATCCATGTGATCTGTTAATATTGCAAACCTGAAGACACTAAGGGAGCTGCTCGTGCAGTAGTAGCTGGTATAGACACACTGGTAACACTCAGGCCAAGGCTGTTTGTAGTGTTCATACTGCTTGATATGCTGACAACCGAAGAGGTGGTGCTAGTGGCTGAGGTTGAAGCAGTTGAAAAGGTTGTTGAGGGCTGGAGCGAAGTTGTGTTCTCAACACTAGTGTGCTAGAAAGAAGACAAAAAAGAATGAGAATCACAGAGCAAATAAACCACAGTGAAAGATACTGGGGAAAAACAAATAAATCTTTTAAGTAAAAGCAGCACATGCAAGATAATGTTTAATAGAATATGCATGATCTACATACCAAGCAAGCAACAAAGTTGCATGCTTGTGATTTTTAAGTATTCATAGAAAATTATTATACAAAAGTTAAATTCAAACAACTGTCACCACAAAATCGTATCACAGAAACTCAAATGTTCCTCCATTGCATTATTCATTGCCCTTTGATTTCCTAACCATTTAAGCTACTATCTACATTAAATAAACTCCTGTATTCTTCCAAAAGACAGTATTTGTTTTCAGAATACTGCTATTGTGATTCCCCTCAATGCACTTGTGGAATTTGAAAGATTAAAACTGCAACGCTCCACAACAGAGTCAATGTGGTAAACACAGATCACATATATTACAGGTACATGCGTGTATGAAGGAGTTCCTGGTTTTAATTCAGCACAATAAAGTGTCTGAACTGTAAAAGCTGATCACACTTGCAAAACAATGTCATCAACATACAAACTATAACAACTCTGACAATAGGAAGAAAGGATATTTGCTTAAGTATGAATTTTCAAGTTACACATTCAGTTAGGATGAAGCATTAAAAACTAAAATACATGCACAAAGAATAGCACAACCTAACTGGGATTGTACAGAAGTACTCCATCACAGAACACAGAAGCATCTGACTTCTATTTATGCAACTTCATTTACAGCACTGTATTCAATACTGTTTGCCTTATCTAAAATGCATTAAATACTCAAGTGATGACAATGCCACACAGTAAACTCTAATATCGTGTCATGACAACTGCCTCATGATAGATATCTTTCCATCACCTCTGCGTTTCCAGCTAACCTGTTCAGTGGAGAGTGCTAGCACTACCTTTTGGAGCTATTTCAGACAGCCACTTCTAAAGACTATTTTTAATATACTTGTTCCAATAAAAATTCTCTCTATTCCATACCCTTCCTGAGTCAAAATATACTCTTCAACTATGCAACTGGCAATTTTCTAATAGTTACTGTTGACCTAATACAAATCACAAGTAGTAATGAGAATCTTTTTACCACTAGAGAGCTGGCAGTTCTTCCTCCCTGAGATAAACTTCTCATCTCAGTTCTTTGTGTACTGGGACACAATGAACTTTAAGAGAGGGTCTTAATCATCAGATAAACTGACTATATGTCAATTATCTGTTGAAATGCGAACAGGACTTACTGCATGTGATGTGCTTGAAGACAACACTGAGGCAGGTGAGGCAGGGGAGAGACTGCTCTGATGGGAAAGGGAGCTAAAAGAAATTGTGAAAAATTAATACAATTAATTTTTCTTAGAACACATACCTACGTGTATATCCCTCCCCATAGGCAACCTTCTATTTAATATCTGACTACCTAATGTTTAAAATAATTAAAAGTACAGAGATAATTATCAGTGACAAGAAACATGTAATACCACTCATTTATATGTATCAATTTACTACATTTTTAGTAAAACAATAGTTGCTTCAGCAATTACATAGTGATGCCTCCAAGACATGTAAATTCGAGAACTAGAAGAATATACCAGGAAAAGTTTCACATAACATATGGCTCGTTTCTCACTAGTTCCCTGAGCAACTGCTACTGGATGCCATGGAGGACAGGTACTAGGTGAGACAGTGCTTTGGTTTGACTCACCACATTTCTCTTATTTTAACCTGCATATCATAATTTGAACTAATTTAGAACTGCTAAAAAACAAACAAGCAAACAGCAACAACAACAAAAAACAACGAAAAAATAATCTGTGAAAGCAGGAAAGTTAGATATACTACTAAAGAATCTGTCCATTTAATCAAGGTCTGTTCATGCTGCCACAATCCCTAAATGCCATTTCCTTATTGAAAAGATGAATCAGAACAATCTGTCCAGTTTCATACCTACTATAAAATTTGAGAACAATGAACCTGCTGATGAAAAACATCTGCAGATAATTTCATTTCAGAAAGTAGCTCTGCATTAGCACCACTTTTTTTTCCCAAGCTGACAAGGCCTGTGAACCTCAGGCAGTAACAGCTGAATCAACATTCATTTGCAATCCAAAGCTCTTTAAATGTCTCCTTGAAAGGTGACAAACTGGTTCTTAAACATTTACACTGACGGAAGTTATGACTTATATTCTAGGTCAGGAACATACAAAAGTACAATAGGAATAAGCAGAATACCAACATGAATACTGAACAAACTCAAACAGAACAAAGCCATTGAAAACATGTATGGTTTCTTGTTCAAAAAGCTCCTCATTATGTGAATCAGAAGCAAGTGAGGTTCTAATAATAACAAGTATTTTAATATTTTCCATGGAAATAGTCATAAGAAAATACAGCAGTGTTTTTTAACAAAGCTTCAGACTAAATTATACGTTGAAATTTAAGGGCAAACATTTCTGTCAGCTCTTCAAGGTGTTGGACCAGAATAAATCTTGGCAGTTTCACAAATTTATTTTGATATAGTGTCTTTAAAACTGTTCCCCATCTGCAGGAAATAGGATGACAACACTTCAGGCAGCAAGAAAATAAATGGCTCAGTCCAGCATACTGTTTTAAACCACTTCCTTGCCCATTATCCCCTTCTTGTAAGAAGCCTTAATTCATCATCTGACTCACATCAGAGACTCAGACAAGAGCTGCCAGCACAACTGAGTTAAGACATGCTTGGAATTCAGGCATCATCTTTTCACGATACTCAGTATCTATCCAACAGTTAACATCCCTCCAACTAAAATTTACTACATTTACCACACATTTACCATTTTATTCAACACTAGTTCAAGAAAAAAAAAAAAAAAGAAAAAAAAAAAGCACTAGTATGAAAGAATCTACCATGCCCCAGCTGGTACTGCTAGTTTTGTATTGTAACAAATATAGTAAAAAGGTGAGCATTAAAAAATGTAACAAATTAGTACAGTCCCAGGATGTAATTAGCCTCAGGACAAAGCTCAAGTAACAGGGATATAAAGATCAGAGTATATAAATGAGTTGAGCTAAATCCACTTCCAGGAACATCAATCTGATATTTCAAAATGTCTTAAGGAAATATCTTAGAAAGAAAAACACACACCATCTCTATGGAATTTTTAAAATAATTATTATTTATTTTAATACAAGTGAAACTGCAGTACTTCAAAATTATGCAGGAAGTAAACTCTCAAAGGAATGATTTCAAACATAAGGCAGTAAAAAAATAGCAGGCACTGTGGACAAAGTAGGAAAAGTGAGGGAATCAGTTCAGGTAATTTAGTTGGCATGATTGAAACAAGAGCTCCTTGAAACACAAAAGTGTTAATACACCTGAAAATTTGAGGGCAGCTCTGATCCATTATTAAGAGACAGCCCAGATCTCCTACTTTGCAAATCAGGGCTATCAGACAACAGGATCTCCTTTTCTGACATTAACTAGAATTAGAAGAGAGATTCAGAAGAGATCAGGATGTTTCTGCTTGCAATCACGCTTTTATTTGCCCTTTTCTTAGAATTTTACTCCCTTCAGTTTACTACAAATCCCACTGTACCTGCTTAACTGGGTAAGCGAGTCGCTGGCCAAGTCACTGGACTGAGGCAAGCTGGGCAATGTTGCTATGTGCTGCAATGCTGAAGGCAGAAGCGAAGTGGTGGTGGGTACCACACTAGGCAGAGAACCAGCAGAAGGCAGTGAGGGAGAAGGTTCTGTCTTAGACACTGGAACTGATGAAATAGCTGCAATGAGTTAAAAAGAGGCATTCAAAGACAAATTCCAGCATATTTGACTCTCAAGCTGGATTCAGAAACACAGTATATAGTTATTCTATTCTTGGTTTACAAGAATTTGACTGTTAAGATCCAGGAACAGTAGTAAGTAATCTGTCTACTAAGGAAAATATAGATGGCAACAGAACTAATTTCTCCCTTTGAGTTCTTCACTTACAACAGATTTATGATTTATGGTACACATGAAGTGCAGAAGACTAGTTTACTACATCTTCTACTATCCGATTACTAGCTTTTGCTTACAAGTCCATTCTCATTTTAAAAATATTTGCATATGACTTGAATCCATTTCTGCAAACAGAGGTTGTTCACATTCTTCAAGGCACTGCAAAAATCTACTCTTACCTCCAGCTCTAATTCTTCGCTCCAACCTATACAGCATCTTTGATGCCTGAAATTTGGATTGCTGGAGTACAAAGGCACATAAAACTAATCAATTTGGAGTACTGGAATACTGACTCAAATGTGTTATGTATTAGGATAAAAGCTAGAATAAAATGTTACAATTGCGCAAAGTATTAAGCACAGTCAAAAAAGTTGTCAAATATTGCCTTACTTTATTTTATCTGGGTAACAAAAAAAGAAAAAGAATCCTACGCACAATCAAGCTTTATAAACTTACTGTCAAGAGTTGCCTGTGTTCTAACACCACTGTGTCCATTCTGTAAACAAAGGAGAAATTAATAAATCATCTTAAAGGTATATTAGATTTTCAGAATGAATCACACATTTAACATGCTTCATGCAAAATTCTATATTCATTCTAAATTGAACAATAGAAAATTAGTTTTTTATTGTCTTTAAAAAATCACATAATAAAGTTCTTAAGTGCAAAGTGTCCTGAACATACAGAATCTCATATGTGACCCGTACTATATCCATCAGCAGGAGGCTTTCCTGTGCACTGTATATAACAAACTTTAGGTTCACACTGATATGAAAGAAAAAATTGCATTAACATATAGGAAATGGTTGTGTTTTTGATCTAATGCAACTCACAATTTTAACTATCCAAGTGTGTCAGGGACACAAAGGTCCTGGCCAAAGAATGATCCTGAATTGGAACAAAGCATTCTGACAGAGAGCATAAGTGGATGGCTGTGTGACTAGAACCATGGGCTGCATGACAGTTTTGAGGAGAACAGCATTTGTGGCTAGAGCTGCTTATCTTGTTTTGGTAGGAAGCTGACCTTGATATTTTATCTTGTTTTGCAAAAAACTTGTTTTCTGCAAGCAGGTGTTCCACTTGGGCTCTGCATCATGCTTTGGCCACGCAGATGTGGCGTGCAAGTGGAAAAAAACCCTACAGAACCTGGAGAGAATAAAAGCAGGAGGGAGACTGTGGTGGATTCAAGAGAAAGTACACCTTGAAGCAGGGGATGCCCTAGTGACACTTTCTGCCGAATCCACTATGGGCACGTTTCTTCTCTTCCTCCTAATCGGGCTTTCGCTCATCTCTCAAGGGTTGGTAAGCAATATTGCATTTGCTTAAGTAGTCTTCGGCTCGCTACCAACTGAGATTATCTGGAATAGATGCCTACGTGTGTGTGTGTGTATGTATTGAATAAAATTCATAACACTGTGACTCTCTGAATGCGTATCCTGAAACACCAAGTTACACAGAGATGCCATTTTTTTTCCATCGAAAGATAAGACTTGAGGTACCAATTGTTTTTTGGATAACACGGAAGTACAGAAGTGGATAGTCTATGCTTGATCCTCACCAGTACATATGAGCTAGTGCAGAAGACAAGTGTGACTGAGCCATTACATAACAAAGGCTATAAGTAAATAAACTTAAAAACTCTCACAAGTTCCTTAAATATTAAATAAATTATCTTAAAACAAACCTACATTCCATATACAAAGAATAGGCGTTATTAAATCCTCTGTCCTAAATCAGATCTCAACCTAGGTATTTTAAAATAAAACACAATAATAATTAAACACTCCTGGTGTTTAAATTAACAGAAGTGTAATGTTTGAGGGGACACAGTTTGAGATCTATTTGCTACATTCCTTATACACTTAATAAACGATATATATTTGGATAGAAATTGTAAGGAAAACAGCAGAACACCGTGTCTAATATTTACATAGAAGAGTTCCTCCTTTAAAAGATGAGCTTAAGGGAAAGAAACTCAGCTAGAATGCTAAGTGCTACTAAGAAAAAAGGTCAAACAGCAATCTAAAATGTCAAGACATAAAATCAGAGGCTTTTATATCCCAAATACAGTATGGTAAAAAAAATGGCAACGCAATAGGAAAAGAAAGCACAAATAACAAGGTGGGCTTGGGAATCAAAGAAACTGCTTGGCTTGGTTAAAAGTACTAACATAACAGAGTAATACAAGTCTAACAGGGATGAGAATATTTCACTTTTTTCAGGGTCTTATTTCTGAAACTGACTCACCGTAACTGCAACAGGTATTGGTTCAGATGGAGTAATGGAGCTTTGGTATGATATCCTACTATGCACAGAAGTCTGGTCATAGGAAGTTGTTACTGGGCTAGTGTTCTGGGATGAGCAGGTCAGACTGGAAGAGGTTGTGTATGTGGACTCCTGTACTGTACTGGATATTGGCAAAGAGGTATTCAAAGGATCACTGGAAAAAGTAAAAAGTTATTTACCAAGATGGTAAATGAGTTCTCAAACACCTTCAGGAAAATATCAGCTTCTGCACAGTTAGCTAAAACTATTCAACTAAAACATATAGTCAAATCTACATTATTTATATTAAAAAATAATGAATATAATTTTGCTTTGGTCCCCAGTAATCACTTTTTCAAAACAACCAATTGTATTAAGTACCATTCAACTTCCTCCTGTCAGCCCAACAAAAAAAAGTTGACACATCGGCACTTATCAGTCAACTTATTTCCACTCTCTCAAAAGGATAAATTAATGATCTTGTTCTTGTTGTTATTTTTGGGGTTATTTTGTTTGTTTGTTTATTTAGAAAAAGCCAAATAGATCCATGAAGACTGACATATGATGACAAACATAATCTCTTTTCATAATAGAATTCTAACATTATGGTAGCAGTCTAACAGAATAGGCTATGCAAAGGAAAATATAACTGAAAAAATGAAGGGATGTTTTCTTTTCTAAACAGCTAAAATCATTTATAGAACAAGAAATAAATGAGGAAGCTCATTTTTACGAATGTTTCTGAGAAAGCTTCATGAAGCTTTTTGCTGAAGCCAATACTTGAATGAGTGTCAACAGTTTACGGGCTGGTTCAGCCCAGTTCTGTGACTAGCGGGGTGGATCCATAGACCCACACCCCAGAAAAGGGAAAAGGGGAATGGGCAGGGAGATAGGCCTAAAAACAAAACAGTGGCAACGATCTGAGGAGGAAAAAAATAATTTACTAAATAAGATATCAGAATGCAAGATAACACACTACAATACAACATAATACAATATAATTGGAATTGAAGCTAATAAATCAAACATAATGAGGCCTTACTCTAATTAAGGCAAGACATCTAGCTGGGATGAGCAGAAGAGAAAAAAAAAGGGACATCTTGTGACAGTGTGAACAGTTTTATCTTTCTGTCTGAGCGGAAAATGGAAACAGAATAATGCAAAGAGCTCTGGAATATGTAGTAAGTAGTTCTACTCTTCTGAGAACCAGGTACCTGGAACTATCCATGATCCATGAAACTGGAGCATTAACTCTTTAACTCCCAGTGCACTACATGATGTTATGATGTGGAATAATGATAACAAAAGCCATAAAACCATGACAAGGAGCAAGTAAAAAATAAATGGGTTACTGTTGCATTTGTATTATTTGTTACCTATATCAGCATTTCAGTAAAAGCTTCTGTATACTGAAATGCTTGGCTACTCTTTTCACTCTATAGGAGTATCAGATCTGCAATCAGGAACCAATCTACTAACACACATGTATGGTACAGGGTTCATTTCTCTTGGATAAAAAGCAGAAAAAAAAAAAGAGTTGTGAGGAACAAGTCCTCTGGCAAATCTGAAAATAAGGACAATCAAACATGAGGATGTAATTCTGTTAAGGGTAGCTTACTTTGGGGTTTATTTACATTCATATAATCTCCAGCTCCAAATCAACCTAGCCAGGAAATTTTGATTGTCATTAGAGAGACTTCTTCAACATGCCATCAACAGAAAACAGCCCTTTCAAGCCATCATATTTCCCCCTCTCATTACACAGAACTGTCTTGACATGTTTTGCACAAACTCAACCCTTTAAGAAGGCATTTAAGAAAGCACAAGGGCAACTCATGCTTACTTTACAGATTTTGAGTACAAGCTATCGTTGGTCATCTGGCTGGCATTTTCACTGCTTGATCTGAACTCTGAGAGTGCAGGCTCTGATCCAAACTCCAGAGCTCCAAACTGAACATTTAACCCAGCCACATCAGCTGATCCAGGCATCTCCACAGCAGAGACAGGAATCTTAAAAGGGAAAAACAAGCCACAGTTCCTTGTTATGCACTATCTATATTAAGGACATAAATGACTGACAAACTCTCTTCCCTATGGGCTTCTTCAATTACTGCCTCAAACTTAGTTGTCAACTACGAGGGCTGCTTCAAAAGTAATGCCTCTTGTTTTATTACATCGACCCACAATGTCAGAGGCAGATGTTGGTATGGCAGTAGTCTGAAACTTCTCGCCAATATGCCATTACATTTTGTTGTCATGCAACAGATGGCAGCAGAGGGGCAGTCTGACAAAATGGTGTCTGACATGGAAGTGCTTATGAAGCAAAGGTGTGTGTGTCATTGAGAAAAATTGCACCCATTGACATTCATCAACTCTTGCTGAACATTTATGGAGTACAGTGGATGTGAGTACAGTGAGGCAGTGGGCACTGAGTTTCAGCAGTGGTGACAGTGACATGAAAGACAAGCCATGTTCCAGACAGCCATGCACAGCTGTCACACCACAAAATGAAAAGTTTCTCATTCAGCTCATTCACATGAATCAGCTGATTACGACCAGGGAACTGTGTAAGGAGCTGAATATTGGCTTCAATGCATTGGAAATGATGGTGACAACGTTGGAACATTGCCAAGTTTGTGCCAGGTGGGTCCCATGAACGCTCACACAGGAACATATAGAACATCATATGCAAGTTTGTCAGGACCTATTGAACCAATACAAGGCTGAAGGTGACGGTTTCCTGTATTGCATCATTACTGGTGACAAGATCTGGTATCACCACTACAAGCTGGAGTCAAAACAGCAGTCCATAGAGTGGTGACGTGAATTCTCTATCGAGGAAAAAAATTCAAGACATAGCCCTCAGCAGGTGAAGTGATGTGCACTGTCTTTTGGGATAGTAAGGGTTGATCCTTCTGGATTTCCTGGAACCCAGACAAACCATCAACACTGACCACTACATTGTGATGCTGACTAAGCTGAAGGCTTGAATATCCAGTCAGAACAGAGAAGACAACTGTTCTCTTGCGACACTATAACGCCAGGCCCCATATCACTCTGAAGACCATGGAGCACATTGCCCATCTTGGCTGGACTCTCCTACCACACCCACCATATATTTTGAATTTGATGCCTTCTGACTTCCATCTGTTCGGGACAATGAAAGATGGACTGTGTGGACAATGTTTTTCTAGCAACATCATCATAGCAGCTCTGAAACACTGGATCACCTTTCCAGGTGCAGATTTTTACAAGCATGGCATGCAGGCTCTTGTTCATCGCTGATAAAAATGCATAGCTAATGGTGGTGACTATATTGAAAAAAATAAGTGTTTTGTAGCTAAGAATTTGCTCTATCAAATAGTATTACTGTGATTTTTGTAATTTGTTGTAGTTTCCATGGAAATAAACAGGAGGCAGTACTTTCAGAGCAACCTACATAGGTAACACAGGAACACATAGAAATAACTACTTGCAAGCAAGGCTTCTGCACTTTTGAAATTAGTTTGACCAGGGCCGTCCTCATGTTTTATCCATCTAATATTTGCTTTAAAGCATGTGCAACCTAACATTGCTTTACCAGAAGCATTTTAAGATAGAGAAAACATGTAAGAGCTTACCTTTGCCCGGGAATCACATGATTCTCAGTTGGAACAGAGGAAGCAGTGAAGACTTTTGTTTCAGAAAGCTGAAAAACATTTTGAAACTATTTTAATCACATACTTCACATTTTTGCACCATCTGAAGAAACTCCATCTTGGTCATGTACTTCCAGATAAAAGTTTGAGCAGAGAATGGCTTGTGAGCAGCCCTGAGGAAAAGGATTTGGGGGGTTCAGTTGATGAAAGACTCAACAGGAGCCAGCAATGCGTGCTTGCAGCCCAGAAGGCCAACTGTACCCTGGGCTGCATCAAGAGAAGTGTGACCAGCATGTCAAGGGAGGTGATTCTGCCCATCTGCTCTGCTCTCGTGAGACCCCACCTGCAGTACTGCGTCCAGTTAAGGGCAAGAAGGGTTTAAGGGCAAGAAGGAAGATCAAGGGAATTACAGGCCAGTCAGCCTCACCTCTGTCCCTGGAAAGGTGATGGAACAGCTTGTGCTGGATGCCA